AGGCCCACCTCATACCGGCCAGTAATTTCACGGCTGATGAGTTCATGTCGGCGCACTTTATACGACCGACCGGCCAAATTAGGAATGAGGAGGCCAAGCTGTGCGGTGAGGCTTGCGGTTTGGGGAGGAAAACGAGGGGGCGCGGCGGAGGGTGGTACATCAAATGGTGCAGCAACGTCTACGGAGGTAGGAGGAAGACGGGAGTGGTAAACACCAAGAGGTCATATAAAAATGTATTTATTTTAGACATCGAATCATAAAATTATTGCAGGGTCTACGGAAGTAGCTCGCGCCATAGCTGCCAAGAAATCTTTTCCCACACAGTTCACTGGACGTGTGCGCCATACATATCAATCTGTTATGGCCTAGAGAAAGCCACAATGAATATTTTACACACACAATTTAAAACTTAGATTAAAGAATCAGGTATCTCAAATAATAAAGTTTGCTATTCAAATAAACAGCCAGAACGCTAACATTTCGTGACTGATAGTACAGTTTTCTAATAAAATTATAATACACACAAATAATTTATTTTGATTTATATACTTTAGATTTTAAAGAACAGAAGGAAAGGAAAGAACAATTCTAAATATGTCTAACATATTAACATGCGAAACAAAAAAAAACAAAACATACTGATAAATATAAAGAATAAAACAAGGAATAACACAGGAAAAGTACAGTAGAAATACAAAGGTAGGACCTAGTGAATTTAAGAGAAAAAGCCTTAAGAAACACCAAAACACTAAAATTGAGCATTTTGGAAGATTATAGTGCCTTTCTTAAGACAATAGAGACTGAAACTCCCTTGAAACCATAGACAAGTGCTAAGTCAAACATTTGTTTTGTCAATAAAGTCAGAATTCTCATACGAATTTCTAGTATTCTTCAAGATATAGAAACATCAATATGAAAGCATTTAACAAAACCATGGGCACATATTAAATGTACTGTTGCATTTCTTTCAAAGTAGCATCATACAGTTTAACATAGTTGCTATATGGACTGCTAATTGTAGTTTGAAGTGAGGAGAAGCACAGTTTTCTGTTTAACAACCTTTCAAGAGCCTTAAGATTATCTAGATATACTTGAGGATATTTGATGTTGAGTATGAAGAAGAATGCTAGAAGGGATGAACACGCATCAAAAGCTGTTCCATTAGGCTTCTGTACTAGAATGCTGTCCTTAAATGTAATCATAACCTTTGATATGCGACCTTCTTCATTTGTTAGAATTAAAGCACAAGGAATTTGTGTGCTCCGGAAGCAATTGTCTCCATCATTAAAAGCAGCCAGTTCCTATGAGCAATTACGATAGATAAAGAAAAAACAGTACAAAATTTATGATGAAGTAACATGCAAAAAATTATGATCAACTTACATTTTTTATCACAAAGAGGGGCTTTGGTTTGGTATCTTGCCTATTATGTTTTTGGTTTAAGAAATGCTCTTGAAGGTGAACCATAACTTGAGCCTTTTTTAGGTCCTCATCAGCATTTGAAAATCCCAAGGTGTTCCAGAACATTTTTGTCAGAACAAGTAGACCCTCATTAAAATTATTCCTTAAATCTTGTACACTAATGTTCACTATCAGTGAATATTCATAAACAAGCTAAAGGCAAGAATAAGAACGGAATAATTACTGTCTATCTAAATATGGTACAATACAACATACAGTAAGATCTGTGCAATACTAACCATATCACAGTTACTCAGGTGTTTGTATGTTTGTAGAAAAACACTTTCTTCAAAACCAACAGTGGCAACTGCTCGTTTGCGATAGTTAAAGCTCTTATCAATTAAATACCTTGCTCTGTCAGGCTCTAATTCAAAATTAATTGAAGCCAATTCTTCATCAGCTAATCTCATCTCTTCATCTGCTGAGGATGGCTGCATTAGTGCCAAGTGGACACTGCAAATACAAAAGGAATATTTTAGTCAATTGAAGAAAAATTTCATGATGAAATTCAGGATTTAATACACTGAACACAAGGGTCACTCTAACCTCATGTCATTAGAATGCATTGGTTCCAGTGCTAGTGACTTCCTGCTCTGCCTGACAGGTTTGATATTTTTTTCATAACTTCTTCTGGCACGGAACGAAGCACTAAGTGATTTTTTAAAACGCTCCTGGGACAGAAAGTATTTTGTACATTAGCATATTATAAATGTATGTAAATTCGTAGCTTAAGAAGATTTATTTTTCAATATGTGTAACTTACAAAACCAAGTTCAGTATCAGGGTCTTTTAAAGATGGAAATGCAGACACCATTTTCAAAGAAAATATTTCATACTCCTTTTTGGTAGGATACTCATCACCAGTGACTGCTACAATGTGTGCCTTACATGTTGGTAGTACAACTGACATTCTTGGAGCAGGCTTTGACAACTCTGTCAGAACATCAATTGAGAAGTCAGGCAATGGTGTTTCTGATGTTAGACGCTGACCCTCTGCCCTTTGTTTCTGTAAAACATTGAGGTAAGACATAAAACTCATCAAAAAATTTACTGTAGGGAAATTAAGAAGGCTTAACTAGAAATGCTTTCGGCATTTAATTGCCTACCTTAATTACTCTTCTTGGCTTTTTCTTTCGAGGGCTATAACTATCATTATCAGATCCAGCATTTGCATTTTGGTGAGAAGTGTTTCCACTGTATTCACTGCCCTCAGAATCACTACTGGCATTCCAATCTTCTTCAGATTTGGGCTCCTTTAATGTGCTTGTGGATGGTTGATTAAATGGTATTTGATTATTTGGGTTCAATACTGAAGGTAGCGGTAAGGTCATTGCACTGGGGTCCAAGCCACTGAAAAGAAAGGTAGATGATCATGGACAACTCTTAGTTTACTCTTTACTGGTAGAAAATGTAGAATTTGGCACTCTGAGAAAACAGGAGTGGGGTGTTACAAAAATGTAATGTTGATACCTTTGTAATAACTTTTTTTCTAGCCTCCCAGGTCTGATATTTTTCTCATAGCTTCTTCGGGCTCGGAAAGAAGAACTAAGAGATTTCTTAAAGCGTTCCTTTAAATATAAAAAAAAAAAATTGAATTAAATTTTAATAAAGCTGTAAAATTAAGTGTAGTAACATAAGTAGACAACTTACAAAGCCATGTTCAGTATCTGGATCCCTTAATGAGGGATAGGCTAGTATCATTTTAAGAGAGAATATTTCATATTCCTTTTTAGTGGGGTACTCATCACCAGTCACTGCCACAATATAAGCCTTGCAGGGTGGAAGAACTACTGACATCTTTGGTGCAGGCTTAGCTAGCTCTGCCAACACATATGATGAAAAGTTGGGCAGTGGAGTGTCAGATGTTAGACGTTGACCCTCAGCTCTTTGCTTCTAAATATAAAATACAGGAGGATTGTATTTATTAACATTAGAAAACTCTCATGTTAAGGAAACTGTTCATAAGTAGTTTTATTTTTTGCATGTTACACCATTTAAAGTTATTAACTAAGATAGACCAAAACAAACAAACAAAAAACAAAACACTTGCCTTTATAACTTTCCTTCTAGGCTTGTGAGAGCCACTTGTCCATGAATTTGAGTTTTCATTTTGTTGTGACATGTGTGGACTATGTTGTAAAGATAAATTGTGTTGATTGGTTCCTTCATCATCATCCTCATCATCCTCCTCTCCTTCAGAATCATTGCCACAAGAACCTCTTGTTTCTGAAGCACTAACATCATCTGATCCTGAGAGCAAGTTTGCTGAATGAATTTCTATGTAAAATATATTTAAAACATTCATGTAATTTTTAAAAGTGTACCCATTTGCCAGTTGGAAGAATGTGACATTGGCATTGGCATTGGAACAGGCGTTTGCATTGCAAGACTGCCTTCTTGTCTACCAAAGGAGCTGTGGTTTTGCCAATCATTAGAGGGAAAATAACCCTGCGAATTCTGAAAGTTCACTGATTCCCCCGGTGTATGTGACCTTAAAAATAAATATCCAACCAATTATGAAAAATATAACAATTCTGGCATGACAAACGAATTGTTTTAAAAACAGTTAACAATGGAATGGAAATAAAGCACAAAAACTAAAAAGTGGGAGGTTAACTACCTCATATCCGACCTCGGGGCGTTTGCTAAGGGAGATCCACTATACATAGGTCCTTGTGAGTTAACAGCTTCATTTGCTAAATTAGACTGTGTGTGCGAGCTAAAGAAACAAAAAAATTATTGCTATCACATTGTAACAATAGAATTCTCCTCGACACAACAATTAATAATTAATGTACGTACTCTAAACCTTAACAAAAGTTTACTAGTTTCACTTACCTTGTGCTGGCTAGAAATTGACAGGCTTGTTCATTCCTTGCGTTGATTTCATAATCATTTGAGGTTGGTCCAATGATCTTGGATGAGTCAACTCGGTCTAGTTCACCACAGTTTCGACACTCAACTACCAGCTTAAACCCAAGTCCAACCATTTGGGCTCGAGAAAATATAACAGCTCCAGTACATATTTTGCATTTTACAAGTAAACTTATTCTTTGAAACACTGATGCAAAGTCAATAACTACAAAACCACTGCAGGCTTGACCATCAGAAGGAAATTGACAGTTATCATTACTTGGGTAATATGTACAGGTTAGTTTCTCGGGAGGTTTGAAGATAGTCTCTATATAATACTGGGTCTTCTTTCTTCCCTCAGGTCGAAGATGTTCTTTGTTCCCGAGGGTAGCACTTGTCATATCCATGCCTTGGAATTGCATTTTTGTCACGACAGACGTAGGGAAATGGTCGGAAACATTGACACCCGGTGGAGGTAGCTTTGAGACAATCAAATGTAAATAAACAGAGCGGTTGTCGGCAGTCCAGGGCAGCTGACTATACCACTATTCGCAGTACCCGCGATCAGCTTGGAGAATTATTGACACCAAACGGTGGAAATAAGTCCAGATTTCTTAAGCAATGGTAGCTTCATTTCTAACATTTCTAACATCCTCATTCATAGCGCTTACAAGACATTAGTGTTACTGTAATATGTTATTTTAATTTTTCTGACTATCTAAATATTTGTCCTATCACATGCTGAATAGGAAACATTGGTACGTTCTTCTATCTAAAAAACATTTTTTTCTCACTTTTTTAAGACATTAGTGATTTTTATCAGTCTTGTACCGACATACCTTGGTCTTTCAATAGATTGACTCAGTTGTATATTCAACGAACTTGGTGTTTGCTGTTAGGTTTTCTAATGGGGATGTAATCTGAAAAAATTATATAATATATATTAGTTTTTTTAACCAACCTAACGCTCCCCCTACCCATTCTCAGATGAGAAATAAGAATAGGCTATTACTTAAATTTAATGAAATACAATAGTCCAATATAGTCTTCTGAAACTATAATGTTTTATTTTTGTACTTTAGTTTCAAATAACTGCTACGACCATTTTTAAATACTAATTTACTGATCATACATTAAAAGTTTCTCACAAATCTGTGTCACAAGATTTTCTTTAAAAGCCAATTCAGGTACAACACAAGACTACTGCAACCCAATTAACTGGCAAGCTCCCAGTAAACATGAAAATTCACTATGGACTCGCTCTTAGTCATTTTCAGTTTTTTGACTGTTTTGATTAGCTAGTCAAAATTAAGATAAAGTGACTCGCTTTGACAGTCATACACTGAAAATGAATTGAGTGAAAGTGTGTTTTTTGTGTTTATTGGGAGAGTAGTCAGAGACAATTATCTGATGTAAATGGGGTTCAGTTTGGGTTCTTGCAGGGGCCCCCGGGTGCCGATTGCTGCCGATCGCATACCCTACCGATCCTCAGCATTGCTGCGCCCTCGCCCCCACTCTCCCAAATGTCAACACACTGTGTGCATACAGGCCATGTATACCATGACCTTTGGTATTGGTGTTGGTGTGGGGTGGGTCGCTGCAGTTCGCAGCAGCAGCAGCTGACCCTTCAACCTTAGCGCTTGCCCCACATCACATCCAGCCAACCAGCTCTGTGGTATTAAAGGATCGTGAGCAAACGCACCTGTTTTTAAAACCCTGGACTTTTTTTAAACTGCAAGGTCATGTTGTATGTCAGCATACCGGTCCGTAGATGGAGTTTTTGCTTTATATTCTGCTCGCATGCATGTGCTGCAATGAAGTTGTTGATGACCTTTCTCCCCCTCCCCTCTCTCTCTCTCTCTCTCATGAAGTTGTTGATGACCTTTCTCCCCCTCCCCCTCCCAATAAACACGAAAGACTCACGAGGACGTCATATTGACATCAAAAGGACTAATTTGGTCACGAAAAAGGTCAAAATTTAGGCTAAAACTCGGTCATTTTGACGTCAAATGACCGAAAATGACCTATTCGTGACATTTTCGTGTTCTCTGGGCTGTTCCCCTCCGGGTCTTCTCCGATGGGACATACCGGACACACACTGAAAAGTATGGACTTCCCTCCTGTGCAGTCTACTGTCAAGGAACAAAAAGAAAATAAACCGTTGACGTCGGCTTAATAATTTTTCATAATGCTATCAGTATAGTGCAACTTAAACAATACATTTTTTTGAATCGGTGTGTTCGTTGGTGCGCACAACAAAACGTTTGCAAGGGTAGGGGGGTAGGAGAGCCACAGCCTCAGGGTCGCCCGCCGCGCTGCCGGGCCGCGCGCGACAGCGCTCGTGCGATATGCAATCACTTTGCGGTAAAATGTTGCGACCCGCTTGACAACCGATCGGATATAAACCATTGCGCTGCCATATCTTCCCGAACCCTCTCTTTCTCGATCCCTGCCTGGGATGCGGGAGGGGTCGAGGGGGACGCTTCCGGCGGGAGCGTTGTCCTCCCCTCCCAGCTGTAAAATTAAGTGTAGTAACATAAGTAGACAACTTACAAAGCCATGTTCAGTATCTGGATCCCTTAATGAGGGATAGGCTAGTATCATTTT